TTTCTTTCTTTCTTTCTTTCTTTCTTTCTTTCTTTCTTTCTTTCTTTTTTTTCCTTCCCTCTCAGTCTATCTGCTTGCTGTCCTGCCTTTCTTTTTCACTCCCATGTGCCAGCTCCATGCAAAGACTCCCTTTACCTTGTAATTCCTCCTGATCCACAGCTTGCAAGCTCTTCTGACTTGTTTCTCTTCTCTCACACTTTCCCATTTTGGTACATGCAAGTTCTTCAAAATCTTTTCTGATTTACAACCTTTGTGACAATGCAGCAGTGGGAGATGGGAGATCTCCCATACCTCATCCAAGCTTCTGCCATAAGTCCCACCAGCATATCATCTCCCCAGTGGCTAGCGCTGTTGCCCCATCAAGCAGAACTGGTAGGCTCAGCAGATGGAAGCCTGAGTTGCAGAGTTAATCATGCATACATTTCCCCAACTCCTAAACATGAAATTCACCTAAAGTATTTTCTGAAATTAACATTTTGTGTTTTTTCCTGTTTTCATAAATACACACAAATGCATTAACAATATTTTTCTATTAAAATTACATTTACTCCAACAGTGATCCAAACAGCAGCAATCTCAAGCATGACTGAACTCCTCCTAGCATCTTGGGAACTAGATTGAGCTGATCAATTGTCTCACTCACACTTGACCCAGCCAGGTGATGTCAGATGTTCTCCAATGAACTGAAACAGGGAGTGGTGACTCTGTTGCATCTTCTCTTGCTGCAAATGTTAAATGAGGTGTGCATCAGCTAAACATCTGTGCTGGCAACAGTTTATATTTAATGTTGTCATAGCGAAACAATTGAATTATTATCTTTGGAACAGATTGTGCATTTCATTTTTGAGAATCATATCACAATTACATTTATCCTCTCCACTTTCACATTTTCTCCATAGCAAGTTCAGTATCTTTTCCTCACCACACACAGTAACAGTATTTTACAGGGAGCAGTAAAGCTAAACAGTCTCCTGGAGAAGTTTGTTGTAAGCCAGGGTATTGTTCACAGCTATGGCATTTTTCAGACACTGCCAGAAGTAAGGCTGAGATCGAGGGTTAGTTGGCCATTCCAGAACAGAACTTCTGCACAGCCTCTTCCTCAGCCGAACATATCGGGACTTCTGTAATACTTTCTCAAGAAATATCAAGATAATCACATCAATTTTTTCATCTAGAAGTCGTTGGTGGGCCATGTAAAATGTTGTCTTGAAAGTGCCACTTTTAATATACTTGTTGGTCAGCACAAATATGGTCTTTTTGCTCAGTTGAATACTCTGGGAAAGGTTGTCAAAGACTGGCTGTCCTGGAAGCCAGTCTCTTTCTTCCAAGCATAAATTGAACTGTCTGGCTTTTTGATCTTCCAGCTTTTCAACCAATTCTGTCATCACCCATTCATTCACAGCCAGATCAGTATTGTCATAGGCAATAAAAGCATCATAGCAGGTATCTGGTAAAGGTAAACGTCTATAGCCTTTCAACTTGGCAGTGCAGTAATGATAGCTATACCACACATCCCAGAAATAGAGGTGACTCATAACTGCAAACGTTATTAAACTTAGGACAGCTGAAGTTGATAAAGCATACATGATCAAATAGGATGTGTCCAGCTCACAGGTATTCAGATCCAGGAAAACCAAGCTTCTTCCTTTGTGTGCCCCTGGGCCAGCACAGGTCACATCTGTGGCCAGAAGAGGAATTGTCACGTGAGTCTGATTGATCCACCCAACAAACCATACTGCATCACAGTTGCACTTGAAAGGATTGTTGTGCAAAAGCAGCATCCTCAGGTTGTTTATGATATTTTCAGGGAAGCTAGATTTCTTAATTATTTGGATCTTGTTTGAGCTGAGGTCCAAGTATGACAACGTAATGGCACCTCTGAGAAAATATTTGGTTATCCGTGTAATACGATTGTTTCGGAGTATCAGTTCTTGAAGAGTTGAAGTGCAATTGGACAGCTTTCGGGGAACAGTAGTCAGAAGGTTATTGCTGAGGTCCAGAGTTATTAGCCTGGTCAATAAGTAGAGTTTTCCCCAATTGAATGTCTTCAACCGGTTACTGGTTAAATTCAGTATCTTGAGTTCTGGAGGCATAGCTGAAAAAACATCAGGAGGTAAAAAGCTGAGCATGTTAGAGGAAATATCCAGTTGTTCCAGTTTGGTCAGATTCTTGAAGAATGACAGATATTCAGTCTTCCCATCTGCCCAAAAAATATCTAAACGATTTCCCCGAAATTCTAAAGTTTTAAGAGATTGACTTTCCATCCCCATGCTAATAGAGGTAGAAATCTCATTCTCATTCATCATCAGCTTCTTCAGATAGGCCAAGTTTTTCATAAAACTAAGCACATGACTAACACCTTCTGCCAGAAAGTAATGTTTGTTGTTGCTCAGATCTAGAATTTCTAAAAATTTCAGCTCTTTGAAAGCAGTTGAGTACAGCAAATCAATCCTGTTGTTAGAAAAATCCAGATATTTCAATCCAGACAGGTAGCAGAATTCGCTTCCATTTAAAGTTTGACTTATGGCATTACCTGACAAGTTGAGGCATTTGAGGAAACTAAGATCCTGGAAGTCTACAGAGTTAACAAAAAATATGTTGTTTCTGCTTAAATCTAGAGTTTTTCCATAATTCATGCAATCTTCATTGACCGAAGGTTGGTAGGAATCAGCCTCTTTGTCTTTGGACTTGCAACTTCGACCATACTCATCATACCTAAAGTAATGCATCTCTTGTAAAACTTGCCTGCTGTATTGCTCTACTGTAATACTGGGATCAGAGCAAAATCCATAAAAGTTACTTTCACCTGAAGAAGGAGAAATTTTATTCACTGAGAGATCTATGATTTTGAGAGCTTGGAATTTCTTGAAGACTCTTAGGTCAGCAATTTTAATAAAATTAGTCCCAAGATCCAACACTGTCAGATTTCTAAGACCGAGTAATGGATCTAGATTTCCTTCTCTCAGTTCTTTAAAGACATAACCCTTGATTCTTAGGGTTTCCAGGTTAGAGAGGGAGGAAAATGTCTTAGACAGATTCAAGGATGGAGAATACATCTGCAATTCAAAATTAAAGGACAGATCCAGCTCTACAAGACTGGGGATAAGCTTCAAAAACTGAGCGTCTCCAATCTCCTTTATGAGGAAGTTTTGGGAGAGGTCAAGATCTTTGAGATTCTTGATGTTTTTAAACCAGCTGCTTGGTATACTCCGAAGAGAGTTACTGTGGAGCCTCAAAATTCTTAATTTTTTCAAGGAATAAAAAGCTTTTGAATGAATCTTAATTGAGATATTAGGGCAGGGAGTACAAGGATATGGGGCATTATAGCAACGTGGGCAATTGCCACTGAGATCAAGAATTTCTAGGTTGTGAAGGGTACTTAAATCATGTTCCTGAACCTCTTGAATTCTGTTATTGTAAATATACAATTCTTTTAAAGTTGAAGATAAGTTGGGTGGAATAAAAGTTAAGTTGTTAGACTTCAGGGAGAGTACTGTCAAATTTTTCAGATTCAGAAAGGCTGTTTTTTCAATTTCAAAAGAAACATTGCACGGATTACGGTAGTAACAATTCTGTCCCAGATACAGTAATTCTATATTTCTTAGCCCTGAAAAAGTGTTTTTTTTAATAGAAAAAATTTTGTTTGCTTCCAGACTCAGCAGTCGTAGACTAGCAGGAAGACCCTGGGGTATTTCTGACAGTTGGTTTGCATCCAAATACAATGACTTCAGTCTTGTCAGAGCGGCAAAACTGCCATTCTCAATTGATGGTGGTGTGGTGCACACACTGTCTTTGGGCCCCAGTCTGGGAGGCACGCAGTTGCATCTGAAGTCAATCTCCACAAGGTTTTCAAGCTGAATAAAGGATGCTGGAGAGATATGGGGGATATGGTTAATAGTCAGGGTCAGGTTAGTAGCGTTTCCAGGGATCCCTCTGGGGACTTCCGTGAGGTGACGATCGCTGCAGTCTACTCTCACAGTACCTTCAAAGGCTTCCACATCACAGGGTAAAGTTTTGGGAAACCAATGTCCTGATAGCCGCATTGGAAATAAGAAGAGCAAGACAGTCAGCAGCGCATTTGACATCTTTGCATGACGTACCTAAAAATAAGGAAGTAGGGAGGTATCAATCAAATGCAATGGCAACAAATGTCATAGGACATGTACTGGGGCAAACCAAACACAGGGATAACCTAGGATCTTGTCTCATGCTGGCCAGAAATGGATGTGTAGGAAGGATTCTAAATCTGGGGGAAGGCGTGTATTGACATTTCCTCAGATGTTTTTTTTCTTTATTATAATTAAATATTGCACTGATAAGACAAATATCACTCTAAATAGTGAATCATAAAGAAATTAAGGAATCTGCTAAAAAAAAAAGACAAGGTATGTACTTAAGTCTGTTTATGTGAATTCTCTTTATTTAAGGGTAAGCAATGTTAGATATCCAGCAGAATGCAGCTGTATAATATACATAAACAAGCAAAGTAAATTTTCAGAAGGAATATGGATGTACTTCAATATCCTTTAATAGCAGCTTACATTTTCACTGTCCAATAAGGAGAGAGGGTCCAGGGGGCTTTATGTTAATTGTAGGTCTAAATAGAAAAATAAAAGGTGTTTAAAATTGAGTACGTCTCTTAAAAGTGTTGTAGTAATTCAATACATACAAGGACCTGCTCACTGCATAGACAGTATGGGAAAACACTACTGAGAGTTCCCCTGAACATGTTTTGTATATGACAGATTAACTGGGACTTCCTGTTTTATGCTCTGTTTACGTACAATAGTGTATCCTTTCAGTATCCTTTCAGAAGTGTTTCTTTGTTATTTCAGATAACAACACTAAATCTCCTGTTCATCTATGTATCTGGAGGAGAGCTCTACTGACTAGCGAGGCAGCAAATGGAAGTGAAGCTAGATCAAATCTCTCACAGCACTGCATTTCTGCTCTCTAGATTCAACAACTAGATAGAATCACTTCAGGGATTCATTCAGTGAGCTTTTGAATACAAGGCCTCAGTATGGATGAAAAAATGCAAAAGTCTAGGGCAGATCCTGAGCTCTCTATTTTTGCACTTGAAAATCATATAGTATTCCTAGTACTAGAAGCCTTTCCTCCACTGTGATCTCTTTTCCTTTTCTGAGGAAGAGCTACAGAATCTTCTTCTCTTCAGTGAGTTCACAGAAAATGGAAATTTGGTTAAATATCCAGATTGGTAGCCATTACCCAACATTTTTACAATTACTCAAGGAAAAAGCTGCCCTTGAATTCCAAGGCAATGAGTCATATCTAATTATCTTCAGTTCTTGTGAATCTGTCACGGAGTTGACCAGATCAATCTATGTCCGTGACAGGGCCGACAGGCCTCTGCCCTCCCCCCCCACCCCAGTCCCACAAAAATGGGAAGGAAGGAAGGGAGGAAAAGAGCAGCGGCAGCAATCTATGGAGGAAAACTTATTTTACTATAATATTGGAATACAAAATAACACAATATATACAATTTAATTGAAATTGAGATGAATAAATCAGACAAGATGAGAGAGAGAGAGTTCCCGGGACCGATTCAAACCTGAAAAGCTTGGAACGGCTAGGAAAGCACCTCCAGCACCCACTGCAAGGCAGCAAGAGAGCGCCCCCCCCACCCGGAAGGGCCAGATCCCGTGACTGCTGTAATGTACAGGGATAGGTACCTGGAATTGGGGCAGTGACACTTTAATGCCCCGTACACTACATGATGTTTTGATGTGGAATACTGAAACCCAGAAACAAAAAACAAAAACAAAAACAAAAACATAGAACCATGACATTCCACCCCTTATTCTACATCGTTACATCATGCTTAAAATATATATACATATATACAAACAAACAAAAAATGATTACAATGCATTACACACACACGGCTATATACATATACATAGAATTAGTAACTGCACTCCCCCGGCATCAAGTTTCCCTGTGGTACACACTGAATATCCCCATTCTTCTGCATCACCCACCAAGTGGATCCTGGTCCCTGGGCAAAAACTGTACCACGGAGAGGTTTGCCCTTTCCAGAAGCTGGAAGAACCCAAACTGCCTTTCCTAACATGTTCTTTACATGTACAACGGGGACTTTATCTCCCTCTACGGTATGTAGGGAACTGGATTGGTTAGGACCATCACGATTGATAGATCCTCTGGTATTGACTAACCAGGTGGCTTCTGCCAAATGCTTCTCCCAGTGCTTAAATGTTCCACCACCCAGTGCTTTTAGCATCGTTTTTAACAATCCATTGTATCGTTCAATTTTACCAGAGGCTGGTGCATGATAGGGAATGTGGTAAATCCACTCAATGCCGTGATCTTTGGCCCAAGTATTTACAAGAGAATTTTTGAAATGAGTCCCATTATCTGACTCAATCCTTTCTGGGGTGCCGTGTCGCCACAGGACTTGTTTCTCGAGACCCAGTATGGTGTTTCGGGCGGTAGCATGGGGTACTGCATATGTTTCAAGCCACCCAGTGGTTGCCTCAACCATAGTAAGCACATAATGCTTACCATTGCGAGATCGTGGCAAGGTGATATAATCAACCTGCCATGCCTCCCCATATTTGTACTTTTGCCATCGCCCTTCCTCCCAGAGGGGTTTCATCCTCTTGGCTTGTTTGATGATGGCACATGTTTCACAGTTATGAATAACCTGTGCAATGGCATCCATAGTTAAGTCCACCCCTCGGTCTCTAGCCCATTTGTATGTTGCATCTCTCCCTTGATGACCTGAGGTCTCATGGGCCCACCGAGCCAGAAATAATTCACCCTTGTTCTGCCAGTCCAGGTCTATTTGAGCCCCCTCAATTCTGGCAGCTCGGTCTACCTGATGGTTATTTTGCTGTTCTTCAGTAGCCCGACTCTTGGGCACATGAGCATCTACATGGTGCACCTTCACAACAAATTGTTCGGGCAGCAATGTTTTTCCACAGTTCAGCAGCCCAAATAGGTTTACCCCTTCTTTGCCAGTTATTTTGCTCCCACTGCTGTAACCACCCCCATAAGGCATTTGCTACCATCCATGAGTCAGTGTAAAGATAGAGCATTGGCCACCTCTCCCGTTCAGCGACATCTAAGGCCAGTTGGACAGCCTTTACCTCTGCAAATTGGCTTGATTCTCCTTTCCCTTCAGTGGCCTCTGCAACTTGTCGTGTGGGGCTCCACACAGCAGATTTCCATCTGCGATGCTTCCCCACAATACGACACGATCCATCTGTGAACAGGGCATATTTCTTTTCATTCTCTGGTAGTTCATTGTATGGTGGGGCTTCTTTAGCACGTGATACTTCTTCTCCTGGTGGTGTTCCAAACTTTTTACCTTCAGGCCAGTCCATGATGACCTCTAGGATTCCTGGATGGCTGAGGTTCCCCATCCGTGCTCGTTGTGTAATCAGTGCAATCCACTTGCTCCAGGTGGCATCAGTAGCATGATGGGTGGAGGGAACCTTTCCCTTGAACATCCAGTTCAGCACTGGCAGTCGAGGTGCCAGAAGGAGCTGTGTGTCAGTACCGACTACTTCAGAAGCAGCCCGAACCCCCTCATAAGCAGCTAAGATCTCCTTCTCAGTTGGAGTGTAGCCCTCTTCCGACCCCCTGTAGGCTCGACTCCAGAATCCCAGGGGTCGGCCTCGGGTCTCTCCTGAGGCTCTTTGCCACAAACTCCAAGTGGGACCATTCTTTCCAGCAGCAGTATAGAGGATGTTCTTTATACCCTGTCCCGTCCGTACTGGCCCTAGGGCCACGGCACGGGCTATCTCCTGTTTAATCTGTTCGAAAGCCTGCTGCTGCTCAGGGCCCCATGTAAACTCATTTCTCATTCGCGTCACATAATAAAGGGGGCTTACAATGAGGCTGTAGTTTGGAACATGCATTCTCCAAAAGCCCACTGCACCCAGAAAAGATTGTGTCTCTCTTTTGCTAGTGGGTGGAGACATAGCAGTGATTTTGTTGATCACATCTGTCATCACGACATCACGACAGCCATCTTGCCACTTTATACCTAGGAACTGAATCTCCTGGGCAGGTCCTTTCACTTTGCTTCGCTTAATAGCAAAACCAGCTTGCAGAAGAATTTGGATTATTCGCTCTCCTTTCGTGAAGACGACTTCTGCTGTATCGCCCCACACAATGATGTCATCAATGTACTGCAGGTGCTCAGGAGCACTGCCCTGTTCCAATACAGTTTGGATCAACCCATGGCAAATGGTCGGGCTGTGTTTCCACCCCTGGGGCAAACGGTTCCAGGTATACTGAATGCCCCTCCATGTGAAAGCTAACTGTGGCTTACATTCTTTGGCCAAAGGAATGGAAAAGAAGGCATTAGCAATGTCAATGGTAGCATACCATTTGGCTGCTTTTGACTCCAGTTCATACTGGAGTTCTAACATGTCCGGCACAGCAGCACTCAGTGGGGGTGTGACTTCATTCAGGCCACGGTAGTCCACCGTCAGCCTCCATTCTCCACTGGCTTTACGCACTGGCCATATGGGGCTGTTAAAGGGCGAGTGAGTTTTGCTGATCACTCCCTGGCTCTCTAGTTGACGAATTAATTTATGAATGGGGAGCAAGGAATCCCTGTTGGTGCGGTACTGACGCCTGTGCACCGTTTTTGTGGCAATCGGTACCTGTTGCTCTTTTACTCGCAGCAGCCCCACAACAGACGGATCTTCTGACAGGCCAGGCGAAACAGCTTAATGTTGTCTGTGTCCACAGCAGCTATTCCAAAGGCCCATCGATACCCCTTAGGGTCCTTGAAATGCCCCCTTCTGAGATAATCAATACCTAGTATACATGGAGCCCCTGGGCCCGTCACAATAGGATGTTTTTGCCAGTCCTTACCAGTGAGGCTTATCTCGGCCTCCAACACAGTCAGTTCTTGAGAGCCCCCGGTTACTCCAGAAATATGGATTGATTCTGTCCCTTGGTGACTCGAGGGCATCAGAGTGCACTGTGCACCAGTGTCCACCAGTGCCTTATATTTCAGTGGTTCTGATGTGCCAGGCCATCGAATCCACACAGTCCAATATACTCTATTATCCCTTTCCCCCCCCCTGACTGAGAGCAGGGCCCCTCTATTCACCTGTGGTAACTGGAGCAACTGCACTGGTGGTAGATCTGCCTTGTAATTCTTTCACCCGGGCTCGTAGTACAGGAGTAGGTTGACCGTGCCACTTCCCCATGTCTTCTCCATGGTCACGTAGGTAATACCATAAGGCAATTCGCGGTGTATTACCCCTTACTTGAGCCGGAGAGCGTTTGCTTCTAACAGCTGAGATCTTTGATGGTGCACGTGAGAAGGAAGGTTCATCGTCTTTAGTTAGGTGGGCTCGCACAAATTTCATCATCTCCTTCACCTCCTTCATCTCCTTCATTAGACTCTTTTGATTATCCTGATCTTCATCAAGCGTTTCTGATACTGCTACAAGTTTGTCACGGTTAATCAGTTGAGACACTTGCTCCGTCATTTTTGATATAGCAGCAACAGCAGCATGAATTGAGGACAGCAATTGTTCGTAGTTTTGGAGCGTAAGAATTAATTCATAAACTAAGGGCGTTCTCTGTTGTTCCTGGTATCTGTCACACGCTGACGTTAGTGTAGCGGCATATTTGTCCGGCGCTGTTGTCACAATCTTCTGCCATATCTCAGGCGTTGTCCTCACCTTTTCAGGGTCGCGGTTTTGTTGTGGGTGGTTAGGAACAAAGTTAGGGTCATACAACATTTCCACCATGCCTATTTCCCTCAAATACTGGATTCCCTTTTCCACTGTATCCCATTTTTTCATCGCAATCTTCAAGCCATTTTTGAAGGGATACTTTTCCTTCACGGCTATTAACACTCGTTCCCAGAGGGAGGCAGCCTCATCCGAACACCGACTAATTCCTCTATCAATAGCTGGATCTCTGGCAATGGCACCCAGTTGGCGAGCTTCATTACCATCCAGAGACAAGCTATGGGCCCCACTGTCCCAACAGCGAACCAACCAGGAAACAATACTTTCATTCAGGCGCCGTGTAAACTCCTTTCTGGAACCTTGGATTTCAGTCATCTTTAGAGGCCGGCGAGTAGTAATAGAGACTTCCTCTTCATCACTCTCTTCTGCATGTCTCTTAGTTTTCGCTTTTGCCTTTCGCGATGGTGGTGGTTCTGAGGAGGGCCCCTCGCCTGGATCTTCCTCCTCCTCCTCCTCTTCTTCTCTTTTTCGTTCAAGACGCGAAGACACTCGTTTCCATTTCTTGCCCTCCACAGGAGCAACTGGTATTGTTACTGGTGTCTCTTGTGATTGATTAGATTTGACTTGGGGATTTTCCCCTTTGGCTTGAACCTCAGCTCGGAAACTCTCTCTCTCCCGAATGGTATTATATAGGGCACGGTAAGCACAAGCCAAACCCCAAATAAGTTGTACCTCCTTAGATTTATGTAAGCCGCATAGTCCCTGACTCAAATACTGGCTTAGTTTCTCAGGATCCCACAGGTGTTCAAGAGTAAAATCCCATGACACTGCGGGTCCCCATGCTTCTAAGACCTTTCCTAAACCTCTCCATATTCCCTACCAGTCATCATTCTCTAGTTTTGGAGGAGACTCCTTATTACGAATGCGTTGGAGTACATTCAGGAGAATTGATGATGCGAACAACAACATGAGTACTAATTCAAGATTCGAAAAACGTTTGATAAACCGAGAAGAAAACCTGGAGACTGGTCTGAACATCGTGTTGTTTGTAAAATTAGCTATTCCATTTGGGATGTAGCTGTTTGTGAAATTAGCCATTCCTTCTGGGATGTAGCTGTTTGTGAAATTAGCCATTCCTTCTGGGATGTAGTTGTTTGTGAAATTAGCCATTCCTTCTGGGATGTAAATGTCAAAATTCAAATCATACCACATTGCAAGTAGGTAAAACATAGGTGTCTCCATCAGTGCCCTTAGGTAGCTATATACGGATGCAATTCCAAAACACGTAAGTGTGAGATGGATTATTGGCCAGTAGGTTGTGACTAACACCATTGCTTTAAATCCTTTACACAGTGCCCCCACAATAACGAGTGGGTTCATCGGTGGTGCCTGCTAAAAAGGGGTTAATGAATTGAAGCTAACAAGAGGAGGAGAAAAAAAAGAAAAAAAGGCACTACCCAGACTAAGTAGTGCTCAAAGTTTACAAATATCCCAGAACACTGGCAGTACGCCTAATCTTTCAAGGTCAGGTTTTCCAGCACAGAAACCTGAATTACTGATAATGCTCCCTAACGAAGCTCTCTAAGAGCAGAGGGAAAAAAAGAGATTCGTTCTAAAAGCTAACAAGCAGTCGTGCCCCACGTTGGGCGCCAAAAATCTGTCACGGAGTTGACCAGATCAATCTATGTCCGTGACAGGGCCGACAGGCCTCTGCCCTCCCCCCCCACCCCAGTCCCACAAAAATGGGAAGGAAGGAAGGGAGGAAAAGAGCAGCGGCAGCAATCTATGGAGGAAAACTTATTTTACTATAATATTGGAATACAAGATAACACAATATGTACAATTTAATTGAAATTGAGATGAATAAATCAGACAAGATGAGAGAGAGAGAGAGTTCCCGGGACCGATTCAAACCTGAAAAGCTTGGAACGGCTAGGAAAGCACCCTCCAGCACCCACTGCAAGGCAGCAAGAGAGCGCCCCCCCCACCCGGAAGGGTCAGATCCCGTGACTGCTGTAATGTACAGGGATAGGAACTTGGAATTGGGGCAGTGACACTTTAATGCCCCGTACACTACATGATGTTTTGATGTGGAATACTGAAACCCAGAAACAAAAAAAAAACCAAAAACAAAAACATAGAACCATGACAGAATCATTAGTTGTATCAAAATAATCTTCATTTGGTATATACTAGTTTACTTTGGAAACTCACCCAGACTGAAGACATGGATCAGATCATTCACCAGTGTCTTCAGTACAGTCTAACAAGTTAACTTTAGAGGAATTTAACTTTTCTAATTTTCTAACATAGACAAGCACTTGAATGAAAATGATGAATAAGAATAATCAGAGCAAGATGGGAGCTAATATGGAGAAGATAAAATACATTTGTTTCCTTTGACTATCCAAAAATTTTTTTTGAAGACTTCTTTATTTCTGAATTAATGTAGACAAGAAGGTGGGAGGGAAAAGGAGGGACACTACCATTAAAATTAATCACATAGAAAACTGAGGGTCTGTCTTTCAATGAAAAGAGACAACATTTGGGTACGTTATTGTAAAAATTCTGCCTTCTTTCTTTACAAGGAAACACACTGAATTATTTATGTAATGACATTTTACTAGACGAGCAAAAATGCTAAGTAACAGTGCATTTAATTTTATTTACTGGTGCTATTCAACTAAATCCATGCCATGCAGCAAGCCTGGGAAAAAGGATGGCCTTGCCAACCACTGGAATCTGAGTTGAGTGGCTATTTTAAAATAAAAAAGGAAAACCTGCTGCAAACCACAGGTTTGCTGCTGTTGAGGAAAAGTTAGTCGGAATCAAGGTCAAGTTGAGTTTGCTAAGTCAAGTTAAACCCCTCCATCCAAGCTCTAAATTAGGACTTGGACAACATGACATTGCTGCCTAGATCATCACCAACTTTCTCTGTGCATTTGTACTCAGATCCTACACTTGGGGACTAAATTCTAGGCACTTATTCGTATTTCTCAATGCAGTGCCATCAGCCTGGAGTGCACTGGTATCCAGGAGTAAGCAGGGGAGCAGGGTGGGGCCCCTCTGCAAAGCTGCTCAGCCCTCACAGCATGGAGGGAGTTGCCTGGGTATAGAGGCACTGTACTACTAGAGGCCTGAAGGCAGGTACAATGAATTTGGGACATCAAAGTCTTCAGGAACATCTTTGAAGGTTCCTTCTGGTGTCAAAAAATTGTCTACAGAGACTTGTAAAGTGCTCAGATTTTGAATGCAGACCTGCTGCAGAATTTTTAGGAATCCAGGCGTTTTTGCAGAGCAAGCCTAGCTTTTACTCTCTTTGAGTTTCATTTCTCTGCAAAACTTGCATCTCCATGTCCCTTTAATGTTAATGTTATTTTGCATGCAAATTGTTGCAGTCTGGTGCTGTGTAACTGTCCACATGCAACACGCCTTGTGCCCAGTACTGTACTAGAGAAAAATAAAGAAGACAGATGAAATTAAAAGAAATAAGCAATCACAGAATAGGGGTTGGAAGGAACCTCTGCCTATCAGAGTCCACTCTCCTACTAATGCTGGTTCCCAACAGTAGGCAATGCTAACTTGTACAAAGTTCTTGTATTCAGAAACGTAGTTTAAAAGTACACCTAAGATACGCATGTGAGTTGTCCTTTTCTCTGTGATCTATGTTTTTGTTCATAAGTTCAGAAATACTTCTATTCCAATATTAACTGAGGATATGTACAAATCCAAAACTGAATTCCACCTGATTTGTGGCGTTCTTCAAATATTCAGAAACAGCAGGACTGTAAGTATTCCTTATGCATTTTTAAAGGTAAAAGAGTGAAAGGCCAGAGAGCAATGAGCAACGCAGGAATTACAGCTAGTAGAAAACACTTTACTATACTCTTCCCCTAGTATATTAGTGTAAAACTCTCATTTCCTATCATTATTAAAATTGCAACCTATAGCCACAACAGTGAATTTGGACGTCTAAAAGCAGAATTTGAGAATATACTCTTGAAAACCTTTCCCAGCAGTTCCAGCCCAAGAGCACTAACAACTTTAAAATGAAACTTTCACCTACCATTTTCTGTGTGCTGCCACTTCTGAAAGATTTGTCATGAGAAGAAACTGTAAATCAGTGCAGGAAAAAACAGCATAAAAAAGGTCTTCACTGGTTCAGATCCTGTAGAGAGGAGTGGCATAACTCACTCAAGACAACAGCAGCAACCACTGCTTTATTGTTCTTCTCTTCAGCTGAACGGCAGCTTGAGAAATAATTAAACATGAAACAACTGCTGCAATCCACTTCCTCAAATATCTGGCTTTAAAATTAAAACAGCACTACCTCCATTACTCCTCCACTCGTCATAAAAATAACTGAGCACTCCTATTTTTTCCATTTTAAACAGATTCCCGCATTGCTCACAAACCCACGTGCTGTTGCGACAACGGGGTTTTTTTGTTGCTGTTTAGTTTTCATCTCATGCTGAAACTTCCTCTGTTCTCTGTCGCTTTTGATCATGCTTCTCATTTTAAATTCCGTTGTTTACCTGTCCACACTGTTAGACCTCAAGGAACTATAAAGACTCCAAGATGCCACGGGGAACACCCAAACGAGTGCAATTGTCAAATACTTGGAATGAGAAAGTGAGGTTAATCAGACAGGAGGGATGTGTTACGCAAGGGCAGCATTCACTTCGGGCAATATAAATTTGCAGTAGCTTGAGTTCCTTCTTTTTTAAGTGCAAGTTCTATGACCACAAAGAGACAAAGTGAGCCTGATATAAACAGCATTTTAGATTTGGAAGTTCAATCTTTTTTTTTATTATTGGAGGTTCATTTCTGCTGTTAACAGCTTTAAGAACAGGCCTTCAACCAAGACCTGTAAGCAGATAAGTCTCTTAAGATGAATCCTTAGTGTAAGAATGTCTATTAAGTGAATGAGACTTGAGGAAAGGGAACCAAAACAAAACAGAAAAGCAGAGCAAAAAGTGAGCTTTAACTTACCTTTAGCTCTTCACCTTGTTGTAAAACAAACGTGCTTAACTAATTGTGTCATCGTATGTAGGAGAATGGCAGGGCATAGGCTGGACTGCAACCGTTGATTTTTTCAAGAACCTTGACACGTCTCTGGAGCATTACGCTGGAACAGACTTTAAGCATGAGGTGCTTTATGCCCACTAACATGAGCTGCATGTCAGTTTTCTAAGGCACAGTGTGCGGCCACCTAACCCAACGACTGTCTATGGCTACTCAGGGCCTTTGAAAACCTCGCCAGCAGTCTGCAGCTTCAAACTTTGGTAACTTTGATAGCTGTACCGTCTCACTGGTGTCTCTTTTGGACTAAGACTGATTTAATTTTTCTCATGTTAGGAACTGCCTGTCACTCAGCCAAGAGCATGAGAGTTTCAATTCCGCACAGAGTGAAACTGCAATTTTAGCTGCACACTAACTGAATCGCAAAGTGAGAATGTTGTTATTCTTTTTTTTTTTTTTTTTTTTTTTTTTTTTTTTTTTTTTTTTCAAGATAAGAAATACGGGCAGCAAAACAGAGTCATATTTTCCTATGGGTGACATAATCAAGGGGGAGCTCGGGATTCACAAAATTCAGAGCTATAATTTGTTTTCTAGAGGCAGAGGGAGTCACTAACTTGCTGAGTTTTAAAGCACAGGTTCCCTCAGACTTTGTGCAAAATCTCTTTGGCCTACTGTGAAACACAAAGTAACTGAAAGCAGCAAAGTCCCTTCTACCACATCACCTGTTTGGAAAGGACACATCTGTCACAACGTATGTATTCTGCCACCTCTGTGAACAGAGAATGCAACTTAAACAAAGCAAGAGACTTTAACATCCTTCATTCTCATTTGCCTTTCATTGAGCTTGAAATCAGACTGATGAATGTAGAACTGTTACGTGCTTTTTCTTCTAAATCAAAACTTACAGAATATTGCTGTAGCTTATTTACAAAATCAGGATGCCACTGCATTTGCTTTAAAGCTGGGTAGCATAGTTCAAGTTGTAAAGTTTTACAGTAATGTCTTTTCTCTAAAGAGATAACCCTCACACCAATCATTATGATAGCACCCCAAGTATTCATGGTGAATATCCCTTTCAGTGTAGCATTGCCTAATTTACCAAGGAAATTATCACAGAAATTGCTCAACTTTTAAAATACGTAAGCTGACTCCTTAAACTACTGCAGACAGATGTACAAAGAAAACCACAGAGAAAAATGGATAGCAGAATTGAGGAAATGATAACGAAATCATTTGCAGAAACATTAAGGAGCACACAAACATAGAACCTCTGCTGATAGCAGTTGTAGAAATGCATTTGTGGGCACTAAAAATAACAAAAACAGTAAACTGAAAACAACAGCAGAGAAGACCAGACTATACCTTGGATTGAGAGTGGCTTTCAGCATCACAGAAATAGAAATTCCTATTTCATTTCAGAAATTCCAACTTCTAAAAACCAATTGCCCAGGCAACCACAGCACCAAGATTGACCAAGATTGACCAAGATTGATTGGTGTTTTCAAATCAATTTTGCATTTTCTGAAAGCATAGGTGCTTGGCATTTCTGTTCCTGAGTCTCCAACAAAGTAGGAAGCGGGAATCTAAAAACGCCTGAAATACGACAGTTTCTATACTCAGTGCTGCTTCTGTAGCATTTCTGTTCCCCTCTTCCTGATGGATAAATAGATAGGATAGGCAGAGGCATGACTTCTTTCCTTTGTGGAAGAAACAGAAGTGCTAAGGCAGCAACGCTGGAAGAGGAGATGAGCACAGATGCTGGCAAAGCACACAGCTGGCATGTTCAGGGGGAGTTTGGGCTTGGATACCCTCCAATCCAATTTCTTACTGGTGAAGTGACTAGCCTACAGGACCATGGTGATTTGAAAAGCTTCATGTAGATAATCTTGCCATGGTATTTGACATTTTTCTTAAGCAAGAGCTCTGAGGGAGTGCTAAAATGGAAAGACATACAGATACACCAATTTATCAGGCTTTTAGAGGTGATGCAATCTTATATTCTCATTTATTATGAGGCTTGATATTGCCTTTGAAAAAACTTTAAAGGCTCATCAAGAAAGCACAGATATCTATTTGTATATATACACATACACTGGTATTCACTCAATTTTTGCAGCAACTACCTGGGAGCTCAAATCAATGTTTAATGATCTTTCCCTTCTTTTACCTTTCCCTCCAAATACAACACAGCCCTAGAGAAGAGATGACTGAATCCACTCATAGGTGTCTGACAGGGATGAAATTAACTTTTTAATAGCAGCCTGCACATCACTGTGTTTTGGGTTTATGACCAACACTGTGTTGACACCAGTTATTTTGCTATTGCCAAGCAGCGATTGCAGCATTGAAGTTTTCTGTTCCTCACTCTACAGGATTAGGCAAATATGCTGGGAAAGGGGACAGCTGACCCCAATTTACCCAGAAGGGACATTCTTTACCCTATGACACTGTCAGGGATAGAACCCTGAGGGGAAGTTTCTTCCAAGTAGCCATCGCTCAGAGTGTGACTCAGGTACCAGGCTGCTAGCAGGAGGTGGCAACTGATTGCTTCTACAGCACATTCACCATCCACACTCCTTTGTCCCTTATTAAACTGTCATGATCGCCACTCACAAATCTTTCTCCATTTCTGTCCTTCCAAATCTCTCCTCCCTCCTGCTACTGTGGAATGAACAAGCAGCTAGGTGTGAGCTAGGCTGCCAGCCAACATCAACCTACCTGCTGGCTAACAGAAGGGGACCTGTGCAGCACACATGAACATTCATACCTGCACTCAGATACATTCCCAATCGCAACAACATGACCTGGTCCTTTGATGTTAAAACATTGCAGTCTATAGCAAAAGCTTTCAGAAAGACTGCAAACTTTAAGTACTTCTACTGAGAAAGGCAGAAGTTTGTACTTCCCGTTAGGGCAGCAGAATGGAACCACTCAAAACAAGTTCTGTAAATGGCAGCTAAAACCTCTAAGTTCAGCTATGCAGTCTAGTATTTTTTCTTTTATTTCAAAATTTCTGTTCATAATTCCTACCTGACTGAACTCTGCTAACTAATCTTCACACAAGAATCCCCAAATGGGCCAGGGAAAATTTAAAGCACTAAAAAGCCTTAAAATAATAACATCAAGTTTTCTACCTCCACAAAAAGGCTATTTCTATGACTGCTGTCAAAAAGGATGGGATATTTCACAGAGCTCTTAGAATTCAAGTTATTACTTCATGATCACTTCAAATGTGAAAGATGTGGCAGACACAAACATTACTGCATTCCCCTTTTTCTCTTTCCTTACTATCTAATCTTGTTAAATACAGTGGAGTTGTTTTGCTTACAACAACTTGAGAAATAAAAGCTTCAGCTGTTCATAAAGCATTAATTCAAGTTCCCATAGATATTTAAACATTGTATCATTCGCAGACTGTATAAAGGAGAAGGATGATCTTATTATATAGTTCTGTATCAGTCTGGTGTGAATAACAGTTCATTCTTACACCCAAGACAGCTGTGGCATGATTTATGAGCAAGGTTTGCATAAGTATCACCACATTCTTCCCTACTTGACCTGTGCAGAAGAAAAAAGTAACTAAAGAATAAAAGCAATCTCTCTGGACAAGTGATTTAAGTAATTTTAATGTTATTGTTTACAATACTGGTGCACAGTAAGGGCAGACAATTCAGCATAAACATATGTGATTTTTAAAAAGTGCAACTGACATCACATATTAAGTATATTGTAGACCTTATCGCTATGCATAAGCTCTACATTTCTGGTATAATTACACAGCCATAGACTTCAACTGAAAAATTTAACTGCAAGGTAATATTTTCAAGATGGTAGGAAAAATAATCTTACATTTAGGAATTGTTTTACTAGTCAGAATAATCTAATTTTCGTTGTATTATGAAGTACTTTTTAAAAAAATGAGCTCATGAGAATTGAATTCCCATCACAGTATCTTATACACACATTTCTGTATTCATTACTAAAAGTAGTATGTTTGATTCATAGAATAGAGAACACACAGAAGAAACAGTCTTTATTGTCCTTTTAATTATTTTTTTTCCCCAGAAACTTTCTTAGGGGAAGAAAATACTGTCTGTCTTGAGACTGTCTTACAGGAAAAATCCACTTCATAGTACAACACCACATCACTAAATGCACCCTAAAATAAGTAAGGTAGCCTTATTTCACCCTATCTTATGCTCTTCCATTCAA